ATAGAGATATTATTGCTTTGCTTGAAATGTCGCACAGTAGGGCATTAAACTTGGCATTAATCACCTTGAACCTGAACGCCTGAGAGGTCACAGGAGCTTTATACTGGTCAAACTACATTTTTCATCTTTGTACTGTATCTCCTACTGTATTCCACCTCTTTATAGCATAGACATAGAGCTATTTTACTATATTTATTTTTACATGGCCATAAAAATCTGTACACTTGTATATTTATGTATTCATGATCTATTTGGTTCACTAATTATTAAAATATATATTGTTATACTGTAATGTGTGAGCTGCTGTGTCCAAGTCCCTGTGGATCTAGTCTAAGTGGTTTTATTGCTCAAAAACACATTGAAAAACAGACATTTAGTCTAATGCCATACTGTGGAACTTTCCTGGCAAGTTATCTACAAGTTAAGCCATTTCTACACTAAGTTGTCATATTATAATATTTGATTTCCAAGTCTGTGCCAAAGTGAAAGTTTGTGCGTAAAGGCTCCTCTGTAGGACCACGTTACATGTAGAACTATTTGGGTTCAGAGACGAAAGATGTGAAAAAAAAATCTTGTTTCACTTGTGTTAGACCAAAAGAAAAAGAACCAGGAGCAAGATGAAGGACTAAACCAAACCTTGGAATAAATCTGGACATAGTTATTACTAGTGACAAGAACAACACGCAGCAAAAGCAAAGGCCTACACCGTCCACACTATATGTCCAAATAAACCTGTGTAGCTCACGATTTATACACTTCTTATTCACAACGGAGATGACATAGAAAGAGAAACGTGTTCAGAAATACATAATGAATTAAATAAATTGCCTAAATAAAAAAAACGATAAAATAATAAAAACTAGGCCTACGTAGATAAATTTAAAAAGAATGAAAAAACAAAACAGGATCAGAAGAGAAATTAAACTACTCACTTGAGGCGACGCCATTTAGATGTAGTCCTACTCCAAGGAGAGAGACCAAAACCAAAATATTTAGGAGGAACATTGTAGAAGAAGTTTCCAGAGATGTGTATTTTCAAAAAGCGGGAGAAGAGTAAAGTGGAGAGACGGCGACAGACTCATTTATTACGGAACAGGGAGGGACATATCTGCGGGGAATTTCTGATGAGAAGGTCAAGTGATCATTTTGGAACCAATCAGAATTCAGATTGAGCATAAACGTCACGTGTAACCAGGTAAAAGTGCCTCTCACAGGTTGTGAGCTAAACAAGGCAAAAACGAAAGTAAAAGATACTGAGGTAAAACTAGAATGTCGACTGTTTTAAGTGATTAACTACCAGAGATGTAACATAACTCCACAAGTAACACATCAAAAACGTAAAGTTACCCTTACACAGTGCTTTTATAAGTGTTTATTTCCAATTTTACAACCATTTTATAGCTTAAATATAGTTGAAGAGACGCCACCTATTGGTTTCATGCTAGTATGACCAGGACTATTTAGCCCTAGGACTAACATGTATAAACTGCATAAACCTGACTATACAAACACGAATTAATCCAGTTAGTCTAAAGATATAACTTTAATAACTACAATAATACCCTTAAGTAGACTATATCAGCAAAAATATAGACTTGATAGCCGATTGAAAAGCTGCAGTAGTGAAATTGTAGCACTATTAGACTCCATGTTACATACAACAGACAAAGGATCAGGTTTAATCTGATCAAACCCTGAGTTTATGATGATGCTGAACTTTCACTGACTCTCGATTCAGTCTAAAATGATTTTTTAAAGAAGCGTGTGTAGTCAGCGTTATATCAGTGTTATTAAGCGTCCTGAAGCTCTTTTACTTTGTAGCATCACAACAAAAAACACATGAGTCAAATTACATCTTCTGTTTCTCTTAATCCATCAGATTTACAGTGGATTTTTTCATGTAAGCATTTTGAAGTCACTGTCCATCATTGCATCTATGTCCATGGATTTTTTTAAACTCGTAATTAGTTTAAAACATGTTACCTTNAAACTGGTGATTCAAATTTTCAGAAAAAAAGTTGAAAATGACGCACATTTTCTGTTGGAGGATCTGCCACCTGCTGGTCTCCACAGAGATATTATTGCTTTGCTTGAAATGTCGCACACTAGGGCATTAAACTTGGTATTAATCACCTTGAACCTGAACGCCTGAGAGGTCACAGGAGCTTTATACTGGTCAAACTACATTTTTCATCTTTGCGCTGTATCTCCTACTGTATCCACAACTCTTTATAGCATAGACATAGAGCTATTTTACTATATTTACTTTTACATGTCCAAAAAAAATCTGTACACTTGTATATTTATGTATTCATGATCTATTTGGTTCACTAATTATTAAAATAAATATTGTTATACTGTAATGTGTGAGCTGCTGTGTCCAAGTCCCTGTGGATCTAGTCTAAGTGGTTTTATTTCTCAAAAACACATTGAAAAACAGACATTTAGTCTAATGCCATACTGTGGAACTTTCCTGGCAAGTTATCTACAAGTTAAGCCATTTCTACACTAAGTTGTCATATTATAATATTTGATTTCCAAGTCTGTGCCAAAGTGAAAGTTTGTGCATAAAGGCTCCTCTGTAGGACCACGTTACATGTAGAACTATTTGGGTTCAGAGACGAAAGATGTAAAAAAAAATCTTGTTTCACTTGTGTTAGACCAAAAGAAAAAGAAACAGGAGCAAAATAAAGGACTAAACCAAACCTTGGAATAAATCTGGACATATGTTTAGAGACAAGAACAACACGCAGCAAAAGCAAAGGCCTACACCGTCCACACTATATGTCCAAATAGACCTGCGTAGTTCACGATTTATACACTTCTTATTCACAACGGAGCTGACATAGAAAGAGAAACGTGTTCAAAAATACATAATGAATTAAATAAATTGCCTAAATAAAATAATAAAAAGTAGGTCTACGTAGATAAATTAAAAAGAATGAAAAACAAAACAGGATCAGAAGAGAAATTAAACTACTCACTTGAGGCGACGCCATTTAGATGTAGTCCTACTCCAAGGAGAGAGACCAAAACCAAAATATTTAGGAGGAACATTGTAGAAGAAGTTTCCAGAGATGTGTATTTTCAGAAAAGCGGGAGAAGAGTAAAGCGGAGAAAGGCGACAGACTCATTTATTACGGAGCAGGGAGGGACATATCTGGGGGAATTTCTGATGAGAAGGTCAAGTGATCATTTTGGAACCAATCAGAATTCAGATTGAGCATAAACGTCACGTGTAACCAGGTAAAAGTGCCTCTCACAGGTTGTGAGCTAAACAAGGCAAAAACGAAAGTAAAAGATACTGAGGTAAAACTAGAATGTCGACTGTTTTAAGTGATTAACTACCAGAGATGTAACATAACTCCACAAGTAACACATCAAAAACGTAAAGTTACCCTTACACAGTGCTTTTATAAGTGTTTATTTCCATTTTACAACCATTTTATAGCTTAAATATAGTTGAAGAGACGCCACCTATTGGTTTCATGCTAGTATGACCAGGACTATTTAGCCCTAGGACTAACATGTATAAACTGCATAAACCTGACTATACAAACACTAATTAATCCAGTTAGTCTAAAGATATAACTTTAATAACTTACAATAATACCCTTAAGTAGACTATATCAGCAAAAATATAGACTTGATAGCCGATTGAAAAGCTGCAGTAGTGAAATTGTAGCACTATTAGACTCCATGTTACATACAACAGACAAAGGATCAGGTTTAATCTGATCAAACCCTGAGTTTATGATGATGCTGAACTTTCACTGACTCTCGATTCAGTCTAAAATGATTTTTAAAGAAGCGTGTGTAGTCAGCGTTATATCAGTGTTATTAAGCATCCTGAAGCTCTTTTACTTTGTAGCATCACAACAAAAAACACATGAGTCAAATGACATCTTCTGTTTCTCTTAATCCATCAGATTTACAGTGGATTTTTTCATGTAAGCATTTTGAAGTCACATTCCATCATTGCATCTATGTCCATGGATTTTTTTAAAACTCGTAATTAGTTTAAAACATGTTACCTTTCCTCATAAGAGTGCTCTGTCCATATTTCAAGTATTTCTTCAGATAGTCAACACACTCATGGGTGATGTAATTGTAATTGTGATAGTTGTGATAGTTGTTATATGGTGCACTGCCTCCATCCTCTCCCACTTGTGTTTGCAGGGAACAGCATCTGGTCTTTCACATCGTATTTTGACATTTTGTATTGATGGACATATAACTATTATAGTGACTATTTTTCCACAACAACTAACAAACAAAAGCGGAGGGCAAACTTTGAACTAAACATAACTCATCTAATCACCTTTGGGCACCATGGGGCTGCTCACCCACTGCACCAGACTACAGAGTGGCAGAGGAGCTCACTTTCCAACAGGCTCCTACAGTTCGAGTCAAACAGTGAGAGATACAGGACTACATTGATACCATACTCCATACAATTGTTCAACAACTCACCCTTATGTAACAGATAACTCTATGACCTGTCTGCCATCACATAATTTTTGCACTGTCTTCCTTATGACCTCTTGTATATAGCTGATTTGTTTTTATTACTTATTTTAACATTTTTATTTTGACTTGTATTTGATAATGCGTTATTTGACACCTGTCTCTTGCTGTCTTTTTTGCTGTCGATTTAGAATTTCTTATTACAATTTTTTTTTGTTTTTACTCTTTGTTAATATAATATAAATTGTGATGTGTGAGCTACTGTGTCCAAATTTTTTCCTTTGTGGATCATTAAATTTTGTCTAAGTCAAATATAGCAAAAATGCCTAAAATTTGCAAATTAACCAAAACTAAATGAGTAAATTAATAGACATTAAAAAAATAAACAATAATTTTTAGTGTTGTTCAGTAGTTCACCAGCAGAGGCGCACTTTCAGGAGCAGAAGGATTTTGTGGCTCCAATAAGTTACGCCCTCCTTTTCTCAGGACCAATCAGAGCAGACGTAGCTCTGACGTACGCGGTCACCTGTTAGGCTGATTACGTGTAGCTCAGCAGCAGCAACAGCAGCTAGCAGCTTGTCACAGCGATCACTTCACTTTAATAATACAACGATCAGGTGGATTGTTATAACCTGAAAACAGAACGGACGAATCTTTATCTGCGGGTAAAATGGTAAGACTAAAGCGGTTCTACTGATCGAGGAGCATAAAGCTAATGTTACCCGGTGGTGATGGTAACGTTATCGGTCATTGTTGTGGCCAGAGGGGCTAAATGGCTAGTGAAGCATATAGTGACTTTTCGGCATTTATTACCAGCTGATACATTTGTACGATGAGTGCAATGTACATATCATCTGTGTATTTTGGTTTATTATAATCTTCAGTTTCATAAGTCTATCTAGCAGTCAGTCATAGAATTTAAATGCCTTCACTTTCAGATGTTCAAGTCCTGAGTTACGTATGCATTCACTTTTGGAAAATCCCCCCCCCCTGTAAAATAACCAGACAGTCACATGTACTTAGGTCAAAAATGCATGAAGTACAAATAAACACTGAGCAAGTAAAGTACACCATTTTATGTTTGTTTGTAATGTGATTATAGCTGATTTCAACATAATTGACAAAAAACAAAACAAAAAAACAAGTCAAAGCACTTTTGCATTGGTGAGTGATGTTACCATGTCCATAAAAATAGATTTTAGAGGAGATGTTTGACAAACTCATTCTCTTGTGTGTCATGCTTTTAATTTTTGAATTTGTAATGTAATTGCTATCTGTCTTGCAGTTTTAACAAGATGGGTGCTTCACGACTGTTTGAAGATAGCACGATTGAAGATACATTTTAGAAATCCTCACTTCTGCCTTGGTTCTTGGATGGAGGAGCAGTGAATGTCCATGAATCCTGAGGAGAAACGAACTCGGCAAAAAGTGCACACAGCATTTACATTACAGACACTAAAACAGCGCGGAGATGTTTGCTAAACTAAAGAAGAAGATTGCAGAAGAGGCGGCCACAGCCCCTCGGACTGGAGTTCGAATCCCACGCACCATCAGCAAGGAGTCCATTACTTCTGTCGGTGCTGACTCTGGAGATGACTTTGTGAGTAACTGCATTATTATAACATATCTATTTTGACAGCATTGTTAAGAGAAAAGGGGGGTAAATTTGATAACCTAGTAAGGTGCATATAAGAGGTTTTTATGATTTTTTGTTTATTAGGTTGTGAGATAGTACCGGGTGGTTAATATTTATCGTACTTTTACACCAGACAAGTTCCAGTTTGTGGAAAAAAGATGAAAAATAGAAGCTGAGGTAATAGTAGCACTTGTAGTTCAAAAAAGAATCCCCCTGTCCAAAATGCAAAACCAGTTTACGCACAAGGGATCCTATGTTACTGACAGTTTTTTAACATTCTTCTGGATAGGAGCCGAAATGTCTTGATTTCATAAATAGTGTCTTATTACATTTCTTCTACAATCTCGTTACATTTCTCAGTATAGTCCATATTATCCAGCTTGCTGTCCGATCAGCATTTGACAATAGCATAATTTTTGCTTTATTCACTATCTGTGTATCCTGATACTTTGGACTTTTTATGCTAACATTGAATCCTGTTAGCTCCCCTTTGGCTGCCGCTGGTGACATCCTGAGTCCAGTTGCATTAGTACTCCCCCCATGTTCTGCTAACAGGCTTTTACTGTACCCCTGTCCACTGCAATCGTGCCCCAGGGACCGTCCCAAATCTGCAGCGTGGCCCTAAATGCATCCATGATAGGGATCGTGTGTCCACTCAGTGATGTTCAGAGCATAATAAATGAGTCTGGGAGAAGATAGTGAATGTGAACTCTCACCTGATAACAGCATGGGTGTGCAGAGGGGTGAACTAAGTGGAAAGATATCTGGAGTTTATTCCAACATCTGTTGCAATTGCATGGGTAGTTATAGATTTAAAATCAAACTTTAGTTCTTAGTTTATATTGTTAGAGAAGAGAGAAGACTGAAATAACTTGGTCCAAGAATCGCATGTTTCAATATTTGCAGATGTCTAACTACAGGACAGCAGCTGTTATACATAATGAGCAAACAGGATATTTTGTTGTTTGCTGAGGACCCTTTGTCTAATGACCATTTTTGATTCTAACAAATTTGGCAAAGTTATGTTAAAGTTAGAAACAAATCTTTATTGATATGGACCACTTATACTGTTCCTTGTAGTATATGCCTTGTAAGACATTTTATAAAATCATCCAAAAGGCACATTGTGAAAATAGGAACCCAAGAGTTATTTTAGGAGGTTGAAACTGAAAGATTGTAGGCAAACACAACCCATATTTAAAAGGTATATTACAATAAATGAATAGTATAGGACATAAGTGCCTATTTTCACACATCACTCTACAGCATAATGATTTTATGGATGACCAATACAAGGAACTGGAGTCACCTTTCAGGCCCTTCAGGTCTGCAGTGTGGGTGTGACGTGGCTTTGTTTATACTGGGTTATTCCATATCACACAGCTTTTGACAGCATTCTAACACTTCACCCTAACGTATAAGAAGAAACCAGTTGCATCACTGTAATGGAATGTAAAAGTAATAGATTCAGTTCCTGTAGATTATCATATTGCGTGGTTTTGTGAAGTGTGCTCATTACGCTTATATTGATCTTATCCATCTCATCCATATCTTATCCATTGTGAGACCCAAAGGAAATCCATATATGAGCGTATAGGAGCAGACCGTAGCGCATTTGAATGCCTCTCAGGAAAAGCTACGCTCCAGAGGCTACTGTGTCTCTGTTGCACATGTCTAAATAATTTAGCAAGCGTTGCCTCTCTGAGAATCTGTGCTGTCAGACGATATGCTTATAATTCTGCTGCCATGTTGGAAATGTTTAGTGCAACATTTTTATACTAAGAGACCATTAGGCAACTGTTAATAGATAATTGGATTTGCATGTGGTAAATGATTTATCGCAGCATTGCATTACAGCTTTAATAGGTGTGTACTTCAAAAAGATCAATGTTATTATCCTCCTGCAGTGTGTTCAAAGGACCATTTCTAATCAAAATTGAGATTCAGTAATTTTTAATCACCAATGATCAGCTTGCGTAGGTCTGTCACTCTAACACTTTATGAAGCAAGATGCATTGCTACAGAGATTTATTGCAACAAACAATACTGAATCTACTTTATGCCACTGACACTGTAACAACAAAGCAGGATAATCCCAGACGGTAAACCATTTTTTAAATACACTGCATAATTAAAAGGCAAGGGGTGCAACAAAAAATGGCAGAATAAATTTATATTTAGGCATAGAAGTTATTTATTCAACCCTCTACAGCTTAAATCTTATTATATCACACAATAAATACTGAGCCCCATACTATATTGCTTCAGCTATAATTTATTTAACATCAATATAGTAATTATCATGGCAATCCTCCGTCTGTAAAGGCATGTGTTTGGAGTTCGGACTTTGGAGGAAGAAATATGTTTTAGTAATTGGCAATGATCTGAAGTCAAGTTTATGTAATACTGAAAGGCATTTTTATTTGTTTTAATCAGACGAAATGGAATCAAAAATCACATATCACTTTGCATGCTAAATTTGTTAAAAGATACGACCTTTTGATTAATTTAAAGTTCCATCTTAAAACTACAGTTGAGACTCCTCATTTTGGATACAGATCTGTTTTTACATTGATGTATTTTTTTGTTAGAACACAAATCTGTGCCTTAAGGTATGAGTTGTTGAACTTTTATTTGTCTTGTTTTTTAGGCATCTGACAGCAGCAGCTCCAGGGACGATCTTCCTGCTCAGCTCCTTCGAAGAAACAACCAAATCCGGAGACTAGAGGCCAAGCTCTCAGGTACAAGTGTTTCAAATGAATACAAAAGTCTTCTGGAGCTAAATTAAAGGTGCATTGTGCAACTTTTCTGGCGGAGGGTCTGTCACCTGCTTGTCTCCATGGAGGTGTTATTGCTTTGCCTGAAATGTTCCATGGCATTTATTCATTACATTACAATAATACAATAAATGCAGTAATTCTCTCTGTGAATAGGGTTGCTGCTCCACAGATCTGATGTGTAATGTAGCCTAGTTGTCTCTCTTGAGATAGATAGGTTTAATCTCTGTCGTGGAACATTCTAGACAAAGCAATAACATTTCCATGGAGACAAGGAGCTGATGGACCCTCCACCAGAAAAGTTGCACAATGTATCTTTAACATGAGAAACCCAGTACTCTGAGCCAAAGTGGGTGAGTCATCTGAAAAGTCTGTGTTATCCTTCAGCATTAATTCACTGTCTGCTGTTCAAAGCAGGAGTAAGGTCCTTGAAACGGCATTGGCCACTCACCAAAATGTAAATGTTTCAAATCAGGAAATGGGAAAAGAGCTCATTGGCTAAAAAGAAAACTTGGACGTTGTGATTCTCTGACAATATAGCGCTTTATAATTAAATGCAGACAGTACATAGCAGACTTATATTGACCTCAAGAGCTGCTTATACATTATGTCTGTACTGGGATGAATTGGGTACAGGCCCTTTAATTAATATACTGAAAGTGAGAACCAATCCAAACATATGTATTATATAACGTTTTGGTTGCGGGTCCGTCACCTGCTTTTTTCTATGAATATGTCATAGTTCTGCCCAGAATGTTCCACAGTATGACATTAAATCATCTACCTTACATTTATTTAAATACAGGTGGTTTTATAGTTCCAAAACACCAATAAAAAACTGGCATTCTGACTGTGAGCAGGGTTGCCTCTTCACAGATCTGACCTGTGACTTAAGTAGGTTTGGTCTCCATGAAGACAAAAAGGTTTAATGCCGTACTGTGAAACATTCAAAACAAACAAAAAAAACACCTCTGTGGAGAAAAGCATTTGCCGGAATCTCCACCACAAAGCCTGTGTTTATAAGCAGCTTATAAAATGTCCATTACTTGGCATTAATATAGATACATTTAAATTGTTTCCTATAATTTTTGAATAAATTTAACTTTTTTTTTTTTTTTTAATTCCAAACCGGTTGTAGAATCAACAATGTCTTTTTTGAATCAACAATGTCACTTTGTCTTTCTTCACTTGTTTGTAGTAGCATAGTTAAAAAGTCCTTTATTTAGACTTTTTACAGCTTGTGGTTTCCATGCATTAGATAGGACTGATCAGATCATTATTAGTTTGTTTTGAACCTTTCATTATTTCTCACCCATATTTTCCCTTTTGTTTTCTCCCTGTCCTCTGTTGGCTCCTTGTGACGGTTCCTCTCGTTTCTGTCTGTGCCCATCCCTCCATCCCACCCCGACACTAGACTACGCTGAGCAGCTGAGACTTTTGCAGAAGACCAAGGACAAGCTTGAAATTGCATTAGAAAAACACCAGGATTGTACGTACCCCTCCTCGCTTCCTTTCTGCCGCTCAGTGTTGCTTCTCTCCTTTAAGAATAATCGTTTTTGCATCAAAGACTTTCTTGGGGTTTCATCATTTAGAGGCATTGCAGGCATTTCCACTTCACTTCCTTCTTCTCTGATCAAAGTGTTTCTGTCCAATGTAGAGCTGATTTTGGCCTGTGACCTATATTGTGATCTTTGTTTACCAGTTAAAATGCGTATGACAGGTTTTGATGATTCTCTAATTTCTTCTTAATTTGGTTCTATAATCCCTGTTGTAAAATGAATTATTATAGTTTTACACCAACTGAGAAGCAGTTTGTGAAGAAAAGTTGAAAACTATGTTGAAAATTACATAGAGAGTTCTGTCTCATATTGGTGACATCACATGAGGCAGAATTATGCCCAGACTTTAGGCACAATTTATACTTTCAAAACACATTTTGCTGATACTTTAAACATGGTTTCAACAAAGAAAAGGTGTTTTTGTATAATTTTATTTGTCAAATTATAATCTCTGTGTACATTAGAGGAGTTTTGGTCTATTCTACATCATTGTTGCTAGGAAACCGTTATGAAGTTCCCTAGTGTGATGTCATGGAAGTAAAATTTTAAACCTAAAAAATTGGCCAGACAGGGAAAGAAAATATAAAATGTTTAGCAAAATCTTAAATATAATGATCTTAACTGTTTTTTAGTAAAACCTGTCATAGGCACTTTAAACGCTATCCACATCAAATGGGCCGCACGCAGGCATTACAATACTTTTACGATGACACAAGCAGCAAAAAGTATAACTTGCTATTATACAAAATTATTATTCCTTTCTCAGCTTGTGATAAGACTATAGGGAAAACTAACAGTGTTGGATGTTTCTCATGAAAAGCAAGAATCTCCATATAAAAACACCCGAAAACTAAACAAAATTATGTAATCTTATCTAGTGAATTTGACAATGGCTTTGCAGCAGAATGTTGTCTATTGTCCTTGTTATGAATCACGCCTTTATACGCTTTGTCAGTATGTTTTTAAACTCCTTTTTACCACTTATTCTGTTGCTCCAAGTTTGTTTTTGTTTTTGCTTTATTTCTGACTAATTTTACAATATTCACAGTGGTTAGCATACTGTTTGAGCACAGTTCGAGTCCATGTATTGCTGCTTTGCTTTTAACTGCTCACTTTTTGGAACTTATGACTTCTTTTAATTTTCACAGCAACTAACAGGCTGAAACCGCATAATTATACTTTACATTTTAACACTCTTTTACCTCGTTTGGTCACATAAAAACATCTCCCTCTCGTGTTCGTCTCTCCCTCCTGTCACTTCACAGCTTCCATCAAAAAAATGCAGGACCAGAATGAGTCCCATGTCGCCAGCAGAGCCAAAATGGCCGAAGGCATGGCTCTGGCCCTGGAGAAAAAGGATCAGGTAAAAACTCTTTCATATTCAAAAACTTACTCAGCAAAGTTGTTAGTTGGCTATGTGTAAATATGTTTTTTTTATTTTGGCAGGAGTGGATGGAGAAACTGGAGGCGGTAGAAAAGGTATCAACAGTTGTCATAGAACATCTTCTAATACAATAACAGTCTGTATAACATTATGGGAGATTCACTGTTTTTGCAAGAAATATCCAAACTTATAAATCACACTTTTGGGTTTGAATAATGCCACCACTTACAAAAGCTACTGTGAAATATATAGAGTATGTTTCACTTAAACAGACGGTGAAGGTGACCAAGTTTGTAGTATAAAAACTTACTGTGACAGAGTAAAAAGCGGTCAAAAAAGTCCCCATCACTCTGTTGGAATTATAATAAAAATCCTTTAATTTTATTACATGGGACGTTTTTACTCTACCGCAGTAAGTTTTAATACTACAAACTTCTCATCTTCCCTGTCTGTTAGCTTTTGAACCTTGTCCATGAGGAGCACCTGTTCTAGACTTTGAACTAAGATCCCCCAAAGCTCTCACTTCTTCCGTGCTTTTATATTTCACTTCAGTTTATTTGTGCTTACGGAGAGGATGCTAAATTGTGTTTCAGTGTTTTGTTTCATGTGGATAGGTCTAGTAGTGGAGATAATGACCATAAACCAGCTCAACAAATCTACAGTCTATCACTAAACTGACTAAATATCAATAAATAGAATTCTGACCAGCCGATCAGTTCAACTTCCAACTATAGATAGATAACAATATTGCAATGCCACTTGAATACAATCTACTCAGGGTTTAAGAATATTAATGCATATTTGAAATAAATAACAAAAAACAGAACAGTTTGAAAAAAAATTTATGTTTCTTTCTTTCTTTCTTAGGAGAAGGCGGCTCTCTCTGCTCGGCTGAATGAAATGACAGAGCAAAGTCTGACTCTGTTTCAGAAAAGAGACGATCGTGATGAATTGGAAGGATTCCAGCAGCAGGAGCTCGCCAAAGTCAAACATATGGTATGTATAATGGGACTTTTACTAAGACAGGAAGGCTAATGGTGTATTATGTGTTGTAATAGTAGGAAATCATGCAGCAGAACAAATTTTGCAACTTAATGAGGTGATTTGAAAGCTTTAACCAGATACTACTTTTTTTTTCCGACTTCGCAATAAGGATCAGAAATGCCAAAGTAGTTCAGGTTATGTTTACCCAAAATCATCTAACTGACGTTTTATTCCTAGCTTTATTTTGGTCACAACTAGGGATGCACCGATGCCGATACTGGTATAGAATATTGGCACTGATCCATGAAAATGTGCTGGATCGAACATCAGTTCTGTCTACTGTGATATTTACTAGTCATAGTTGGTCCAGAAAGTCTAATCATGTTTGAGTTTTTAATACATATTTGTTCTCTAATTACCTAAGAGTTAAATAAGACCTACATACCACATTTTGTCATTTTGAATATTTCTTGTTTTTAGGTAAATAAAGTCTATTTTTAGTCTCTGGTATCTGTAGATATCAGGTATCGGCAGAGATTTAAAGCCATGGTATCTGAGTTGATATTGGAACTGAAAAAGCTGGATTGGTGCATCTCTAGTCCCATCCCAATTTCATTCACATATCTGACAGAAAACCTACTTAACATTGTCTAAATGCAACTGATTTTGTCTGTGTAGCTGTTGAAGAGGGAGGAGCAGTTGGGTCAGCGTGAGTCTGAGGTCCAGTCCATGAAACGAGGTCTGAGCGAGGCCCGGAGCAAACTGCAGAGACTGGAGGAGGAGCACAACCAGAGCTGCCAACTCAACGCTGAGCTGGAGATAGAGAGGTCAGAACACACAGAAAACTGACTTTTACTGCAGTAATTACAGCTTTTCAATTATGCTATATAGTAATTTTCTGTTGTGGGGTTTTTGGCGCATGCTTCTGCAATGTTCCACTGTATAGCATTAAACTTATACATTTAGCATTTATATCAATATCAGAGTGTTGTTATGGCTCTGAAAAACCTTGGAAAATTATGCATTCTTACTCTGATCTCCAGTTTGACCTGATGCTGTCTTCAAATAGATGAATCATTTTAAAGCCTCTCTATGTGTCATTATAGCTAATACAAAAACATCTCCATGACAACAATTAGACCAGAAAAATTACATGGTGTCCCTTTAAGACTGGAAAAGCAGCACGCATACTAATCTACTAGAAAAAAAATTAAGATATTTAAGTTAATTTATATGAAAATATGCTAAAATTGTGTTTTTCATCGGTTATATGAAGTTACAGTCATTGAAACAATCATTACGAACACTACCAGCTCATCAATAAGGACAGGAACTTGACTTCTGCCATTTTCTGTTTCCTTTACCCTTGTGTCTGTTACAGAGAAGAAATGCTGTTGTTTAGAGAAGAGTCTGACAAAAAGATCCTGGACTTAGAGACTCGATGTGGAGAGTTACAGGCAGTAATCAAGCAGGTGTCAGAGGATTTTCAACAGGTTTGGCCAGAATCAGTTCTTGTGCATTAATTTTGCATCATTTCAATTTCCGTCTGTGTTTCTATACTTTGTGCTGCACTTTTGTTTAGAAAATGTGTGTTTTTTTAGTCCCAGAATATGGTGACGTCGTTGGAAAAGTCTTTACAAGAACTCCAGGCTGAACATGACGCTGTGAGGCTGCAACAACAAAAGGCGAGTCTTTCCTGAAACTCTGAGGATTCCTATGCTCTGTAAACATGACACACATAGCTTTCAAAGTGCATGTTCTGTCCCGCAGTCAATATCATACAGATACCACCACTTTTACTACTACTACTGCTACTACTACTATTGAACTTCTGTGGTTCATTTTACAGTCAAATTTGTCTAATACTTCAACTTCTACATTTAAAGATATGATTGTTAACATATTGCCATTGGATTGACTTAAAGATGCATTGTGTAACTTTTCTGGTGGAATGTCTGTCAAATGCTTTTCTCTGTGGAGATGTTTTGTCTGGAATGTTCCACAGTATGACATTAAACAGTTCTATCTTACATTTATTTTATTTAATTACATGTGATTTTATAGCTCAAAAATACCTAGAAGAAATAGAATAGAATAGAAATGTTTCATGCCATACTGTGAAACACTCAATGACATCTCCATGGAGACAAGCATCCCCACCACACAATTACACAGTTACACAATGCAACTTTAATATAATCTGAATATTATCATTGGGACACTATACAAACTATACATTCATTTTGATCAGTATCCTAATCCACTACTCACACATAATAACTGTTTTCTAAATGCAACTAATAACCTACAAATGTAAATGATTTGTTACAGGCAGCTGTAACAGAGGAGGAGAAGGAGCGCACGTTGTCAGAGCTACAAAAGAAAGTGACGTCTTTAGAAAGAAGACTTCAAGGAAACCTGAGCCAGGATGAGCACTTGCAAGAACTGTTACAGGAGGTCAGTACAAAGCTTTATTTTCATTATTCACACACTCTACATGTACAAAACAAAAGCTTTTTACTGGAGGAGCTAGAGACATGCTTTCCAACTCATTCCACTACGACATCAATTTTATTTATATTACTTTATTTCTATATTTTATTTTTACTTGTAGATATACATCTTTTTGCCTTATTTGACCCCCGTCGCTTGACATTTTTGCTACTTATTTAGAATTTTTTATTACCATTTATATTTTTTCCTCTCTGTTAGTATACTATAACATGAGCTACTGTGTCTAAGTCATTTCCCATGTGGATCAATAAAGTTTGTCTAAGTCTAAGTGTAACTAATAATTTTTTAATGAAACTGTTAAGTAGACTTTTAAACTATTTGGCAAGACACAGCTCCAAAGTAAAATCATCAAAATACATGTACAGTTTGTGTTGGATTGACCTGTGTAAATATTCAGTGTTGTGTGTTTTGTTTTCTTTAGAAATCAAGTTTAGAGCAAACTCTGGAGGAGACGAGAGCGGAGTTACTAACTGCTCGAACCAACCATGCTGACACAGTGAGCTCTCTGGAGGCCCAGGTATATTTTGAGATATTTTTATTACTTATTTCTATTGTATTTTAGTTTTACTTGTACATAGACATTTATGTAATTATGCCTTATTTGACACCAGTCTTTTGATATTTTTGCTACTTATTTAGAATTTATTATTACCATTTATATTTTTTCTTTATTATAATATACAGTGATTGTGTGAGCTACTGTGTCTAAATATTTTTCCTTGTGGATCAATAGTTTGTCTAAGTCTAAAGCACAATCTCCAATCCAGTATTTTGGTGTGTTTATAAAAAAAATAACCGAACAGCAAACCATGTTATTAGGGTTGCAACATTTTTGGAATTTAAATCGAATTCCAATTTTTCTAACAGCTGATTAGTTTTGTGATATATATTGTGATACTGTAAACAACATTTGAGGGAAGACTGAAATCTGATAAACAAAACCAATAATCCTATAATAATGTTTGTACAGGTGTAAACTACGGGTACAGCAAGAGTTGTCTATGTGGATATTTTGTTTGCGGAGGGCATTCTATTATCTAAATAACTGCAGCCTTTGTGATTTAATAAGTGTGCATACTCGAATTGCAACTAAGATTGTTTTTGAATTAATTGTGCAGCCCTGCTTGTCGCTAATGTGGATTTTTCTATTTGGATTGTGGCTTTTTCAGGTCTCGAGAATGAGCGGCACCATCAGTGAATTGCAGACTCTGCTCAGACACAAAGAAGACTCCTCCAGGGCGTACAGAGAGAGGACAGATGCACAGGTAGAATCGCACACACAACAAAAGTGTCAAAGTATATTAAGAGCAAGTGTCAGGGAGAAGGGATGGGGCTTGACAAGCTGTGTACTCCGGGTTTACTAATTATGTAATGAGTTGAGCACTTGACAAAAGCCACAAGATAAACTGCAAATATATGGAATGCTTGCAGCTCATTGAAATTGCTCTGAAAACATAAAAAAATCATTTCTCTATTAAGAACCTGTTAACCACGTAGAGACTTCTGCAATCATATTCTGAAATGCACACTGTTCTTTATCACTTTAGTAGTTCATATTTAAAGGTGCACTGTGGTGGAGGGTCTGCCAACTACTTGTTTCCATGGTGATATTACTGCTTTCCCTGAGATTAAACAAATATATCTTGTATCTATTCAATTATAGGTGTTTTTAGTTCTCAAAACTACATCAAAAACAGGCATTATTACTGTGAGCCGGTCCACTTCTCCACGGATCTGACCTGTAACTTTGTCTGGTGTTGTGGGCTGCTTGTCTCCATGGAATTAAATTAAATTAAATGTATTATACAACATTTTAGGAAAAAAAAACTTCTACCAAAAAAGTTACACAGTGCACCTTCTAAGATCTAACTACACTCATACCTATACTATACTAAACTACTGTTAACCTTGGCATTGTGTTATTTGTACCTCATTATTATTGTCTTTTTGTTTCAGATTTCAAGTCTTGAGCACCAGTTGTCAGAAAGTAATGAGAGGTTGAAGAGCACACAACAACAAATCAATGAAAAGGAACAGTGCACAGAGAAACTGGTGAGTATATGGTAAATATTTAGACAAACAATTTTTGTGAATTTTGATAATGTGAATGAATTTTCTTTTTGACTGCCAAATGAAGGTGACATTGCGTTTTGTGTTGCAGAGAGGAGAGTGGGGGGCAGAGAGAGCCTTCTTGGAGCAGCAGTTGAGTTTGTTGGAGCAGCAGAGTCAGGACAAATCCAGACGGCTTGAGGAAAACGTCAGCACTTTACAGACAGACAACCAGAGACTGCAGGACTCACTGGTACGCTCTCAACATAATGACAGTGACCAGAACTGTTTTAGGATAGATGGTAATAATGTTATTTCAGGTATTTGACCTCAGTTTGAAAGGAAGCTTAAATCCACACCTGTGCCATAAAACTATGCCAGAAATTACCTCTGTTTTGTTTAATTTGTGTAAGGGGTAGAAGTTTCAGTCTCTACTCCTTTCATGGTATACAGTTGTCATGTCCTTGGGCAACACACTTAACACAGTGGTTCAGTGCTTGGAGGTTGAAAATTGCTATATAAATGTATCTTTTTTTATTGTATATGTGAGTAGGGTTGTGTATAGCGCTTTTCCAGATGTTCAAAGTCTCTGTTGTACAATTTTGTGCATTATTAACTTACTCCACATCCGGTGATGGCAAGCTGCTATTGTAGCCACAGCTGCCGTGGGGCAGATTGACAGAAGTGAGGCTGCAAATCAGCACCATTGGCCCTCTGACACCATCAAAACTCTCACCCCTTTGACACTAGGCAATTTGGGTAAAGTGTCTTGCTTAAGGACACTGCCAGTGGCGCCCCCTCCCCATGGCAGCTTATTTTCTCAGCAGTCTCCCATCTAAATACTAACCAGGCCCGGCCTTGCTTAGCTTCTAAGATCTGACGAAATCAAACTTTGATAAGGAGGTTTGGCTACATTATCCACACATAATAACTTGAATGACTTTAATGTGATCATCAGGTCTTTTGTTTGTAATATAGTTCAAGACCATTCTAAAACAATTTAGTCTTATTTCTGTGATTTTTTTAAATATCGATTAAATTGTCCGCTTTCAGTATTAGTGTTGGTATTGATTAGTATGTGGGTATTGATACTTTTGACATGTTGGATAGGTAGCGCTAGACTGGCAACGTTGGATATCACTGATGACAGTATATTGGATATTTTTAGCTCAACTGAAACCAATTCATGTATAACAGATTGTCTCTTATGAACCGTCTGTTTTAATAGGCCGATCTGGAGAAGAGAAAGCATGAGACTGAATGTGCTTTGAGACGAGCATCAGAGGAGCTTGAAAAGAGCAAGGTCTGAAGAAAATGACTCACTAATTTAATAATCCTTTTTTTACAAAACATCTGCAACTATTCAAAAATAATCTCTCTTGTATTTGATTTTCCCATGCAGGCTGACTTGAGCAACCAGCATAAAATTTGCACAGAAATCACAAAAGCTCTGGAGGACACAAGACGACAGAAAGAGGAGCTACAGACGCGGGTCAGTGGGAGAGATGACCTTCAATAAAAATAAAATATTAATTTGTTCTTTAACATTTCAGACAAAAAAAAAAACAGACTGTAACTTTTCTCATAGAGGGTCCATCACATTCTTGTTTCTGTAGCTATGTCATTGCTTTGTCTGGAATGTTCCACAGTATGGCATTAAACTACCTTAAATTTATTCAATTACAGGTGGTTTTATAGCTCAAAAATACGGAGAAAAACAGGCATTCAGACTGTGAACGGGGTTGCATCTCCACAGATCTGATCTGTATCTTGGCCTGGTTTGGTCTCCATGAAAATAGAAATGTTTAATGTCATACTGTGGAACATTTCAGACAAAGCAATAACATCTCCCTGGAAAAAAGCATTTGACTGACCCCCCACCAGAAAAGTTACTCAGTGCACCTTTAAAGGTGTTTTTATGCACTGAAAAACTTGAAAACCATGCACCCTTACTCACAAAGGGCTGCTCTCTCTACAGATTTGACTTTTCTGGTGAAGGGTCTGCAACCTGCTAATATCTATATATTTATGTCTTTTTATGTATATTATTCATATTTATAGGTCTCTTCACTTAATCAATATGGTTTTCATCAAATACAGTATAAATAGTGTTTTTGGCTTAGACAGAAACAAATAGTATACATTATAGCTAAATTGCTTGTTTTTCCTCTTATAGGTTGCTGAGTTGACGGCTTCTTTAGTCACGAATCAGCACGAAGTAACTACTTTGACTGACAAACTACACCAGAAAGAAGAGAAGATAGAAAAGCTTCAAAATGGTAAATGCATTTAAGTAATAATTTTATGTCATAAATGTAAAAAAAAAAAAAAAAAAAAAAAGTTTTACAATTTAAAGGTGCATTCTGTAGCTTTTCTGGTGGAGGGTCCATCATCCTACTTGTTTCTATGGAGAGGTCATTGCTCTGCTCGGAAGGTTCTACAGTATGACATTAAACAGCCTTATTACAAATATTCAATTGCAGGTGGTTTTATAGCTCAAAAATGCCTAAATGCCTGGTTTGGTCTTCACGGAGTTAGAAAGGTTTAATACCATACTGTGGTATTCCAGTCGAAGCAATAAGATCTCCAGAGAAAAGCATTTAATGGGCCCTCCATCAGAAAAGTCACACAATGCACCTTTAAGATTATAGTTTCATATAGTAAAAATGTTGTATTTTTGGTACAGAGGTGCAGAGTGGACAAGAGTCTCTACAGCAGCTCAAAGAGGAGATGGAGAAACATCGAACACAGTTCAAAAAAATCAGGAGGAAAAAGAAAGTGAGCTGAAGAGTGTGAGGGAGGAGCTGCTCAGTCAGACACAGCAGTTAGACAGCTGCCAGGCCCGGGTAAGAACAAATAAGAGAACTTTTATAAGACAATGTTTGTTTTAAAATGGAACCAATACAATTTTGTGATGATGATACTATAGTTTCCAATTACTATGTTTTAAGGTATATAGGCTACATGTAAATAAATACGTGAAAAACAATAACTTTGGTTAGGTAATGCAGACTTTAATAAATGTTTTTCTTTTTTGATGGTCAGGTATAATACCAATGTTGCTCTGTACTCACAAATGTTTTTTTTACATTTCATTTAAACAAACTGAAGATGTATATCCATATGAAACACCCCATGTGCTAAAATAGTGTTAAATATTGTCTCGTTTTGTGTAGATCTCTTACCTGGAGGTGGAGGTGGAGACTCTGACCGAGCAGCAGCAGCAGCACCTGGAGCTCTGTGAGGAGGAACAGAACGGTTTGGTTACCGTCGACGACCTCGATCACATCCAGAAGCTCAACAGAGACCTGGAGCAGCAACTCGGAGAGAAAAACAGGGTCAGTCCAAGTTTGATGGTGTATGGAAACCAGAAAATCATCTAAATTCTTTCTGATCATGGTCCCCCTGAATATTCGCATCAGATTTTGTTATTTACATGTCATTTTAATCATTTTTAAGGTCCAGAAATCAGATGATAAAATGTATGTGTACTTGTAAACATAACCCAGGTTGTTTGGTTGGTTTGAGCTTCCCATTTCAAGAGATATTATATTTTGTTTTAATAGGCAACTGCTCAAATGGTCACTATTCTAAAACCCATGGATATATTTTTTCTTCTTATTTTACAGTTATGTACAGTAAGTTTGTATGTTTTTTTTCCATAGACAATAAAGCAGCTGCAACAAAGACTGGCAGAACTAAAGAGAACTCTGCAGAAAGAGCTGGTGAGATGCTGCTCAACTTTTTTTTAATGATTTTAATTTCAACAGTAACAGTAATGCGATCTATATTCAATGACAAATTTAGAGAAATGCCAAAAACCACTGAATTGAAGTAGAGTTACTCTTATACGTTTCTAAACATGTAGGGGTGAAAATTTGGCCTTTTAGTGCTACAGATATAGTATCTTAATGAATTCACTAGCAATAATACAAAATGTTAAGAATTTTGAAACATCTGTCATATCTAAATACAAACTTTCTTTTGTTTCCGCCATGTAGAAGTTGAAACCTGAAGGAGAGGCTGAAGTGAAGGAGAAGACAGCAGAGACTCGGACAGACAAACCAGAGCGGATCAGTCCAGACCCCCCTCCCACCTCAATTCCCAGCCCCCCCACCTCCAACACCACCGTCACCAACACGTCTGACCTCAACGACTCTCGAGAGATCAACTTTGAATATCTCAAACATGTGGTCCTCAAGTTCATGTCCTGTAAAGAGGCAGAAGTAAGTGTCAAAGCAGATTTTTTTATTTTTAAGGCGCCGTCACCGTCTTAGTTTTCCTCATGGATTTTTTTTATTTTATTTTTTATACACTTTCTCTTGTATTTGCACTTCTATGAGCCTATTTGTGTGTGTTTACTTAACTTTTTCATTAGGTTATATTTTTATTACATATCATTAATGAGCTAATTTTAATAATGAGGTCATATGTGTAACCTTTATGGTTACACAATGCTTTTCTCCATAGAGATGTTATTGCTTTGTCTGGAATATTTCACAGTATGGCAATAAACCTTTCTATCTTCAGAGATGGACCAATCCAGACCAAATTACAGGTCAGATCTGCGCAGAGACATCCCCACTCACAGCCAGAATGCCTGTTTTTCTCTGGTATTTTTGAGCTATAAAACCACCTGTTATTGAATAAATGTAGGGTAGATCTGTTTAATGTCATACTGTGGAACATTCCAGGCTGAACGTCTCCAAAGAAACAAGAAGGTGACAGACTCCCAATCAAAAAGTTGCATAGTGCACTTATAAAGATGAGACATATTCTGACACTAAGATTTAACTTGTGTACTGTTTTCATTTCTTGTCTTTTGCAGGCCTTCCATTTAATCCGAGCGGTGTCCGTGCTGCTGAATTTCACTCGTGAAGAGGAAGATTTGTTGAAGCAGACTTTAGAATACAAGGTTAGGGAAGAAATATTTGTGCTGTAGATTGATAAGATACTTTTTCATTCTTTTCAGTTACAAAACATGTTTTTTTTTATCTCCATAAATGAGAAACACTCTTTAAAATGTATGTGTAAAAAAGTGACCACCACTTATTTGGGCTTTTTCAAATGTCATCCCTTCATTATAGTTCTAGCAGTCTAGCTTGTACCTCTTTTGTCATAGTCACTAGTGACCAGTTCCCCTAGGTTGAGCATCACTGCTGGGAGAATCATTTACATTTTTTTCTTAATTTGCATGTTTTTGTTTTCCCATCAGATGTCCTGGTTCGGTTCCAAGCCTTCTCCTAAAGGCATCATTCGGCCTTCGATCTCAGGCAGCTCGGCGCACTGGAGCTGATGGGGCAGAGACACTGGAGCTGGACATAGCTTTATTTAAAGGTCCATTGTGTAACTTTTCTGGTGGAGGGTCTACCATCTGCTTGTCTCCATGGAGATGTTGTTACTTTGTCTGGAATATCCCAGTATAGCATTGAACGTATCCATCTTGCATTTACTCAATGATACGGGGTTTTATTGACCTAAAAACTTGAATTCTCACTGTGAGTGGGCTCGTCTCTCCACAGATCCGACATGAAACTTGGCCCTATGGTGTCATCTGCTGTCTCTATAGAAATAAATAACTGTAATGCCATACTATAGAATATTCCAGGCAACATGTCCATGGAGAGACACACCTTACAGACCCTTCAACAAAAGTTACACAGTGCACCTTGAAGCATTTACTGCCTCCATCGCCTCTCTGCTCTGCTGCTGCATCTACTGTGGAGACACAAGGGCTGTATGGATTCTGTAGGCTTTTCTTAATCTAATTCAGATAATGTTTTAATTATCTGGTGAGGTTTTTTGGTGAGACCTGCAACTAGGTATGGTTGACTTCAGCTTAATTGCCTCGACGTCATGAGCTTTGTGTTTTAGCGAGTCATAGTTCTTACATTTGAACTCTATCTTGAAATGACAGTCAGTGACATGCTGCTCCTATTAATTTTATTTTAAGAAGGAAATGGCTATGATTAGTGATGGACCTTCTCAGTTGTCAACAAATTGGACACTAGTATTAAGGTGAAGGTGAAGGGTCCGTCAAATGTTTTTCTCCATGGAGATGTTACTGCTTTGACTAGAATGTTTGAGGCATCTTGAGGCATTAAACCTTTCTATCATCATGGAGCCCAAACTAGGCCAATTTACAGGTCAGAGCTGTTGAAAGGCAACCCGCTCACAGTGAGAATCCCTGTTTTTCTATGAATTTTTTGAGTAATAAAACCATCTGTAATTGAATAAATGCAAGGTACATCTGTTTAATGTCCGAGCAAAGCAATGACATATCCATAGAAACAAGCAGGTGACAGGACCCCCGACCGAAAAGTGCACCTTTTTAAGAGAGGTTTGAATCTGCCTTTTTAAAACTATTATAGGACAAAAGTGATCTAATCAGGGAGTGAGGCACTGATTAGAGCCACTGCCTCAAAGCAAAATGGTTGAACTTTTAATACTCAGGCCAGCAGACTACTGTATCAGTGAAGTTTGCATGTCCTCTTTGTGTGGTTATGGACTATTTCTGCCATTGTCCTAAAAACATGCATGTTTAAACAAATTGGTTAATTGCCCATAGTGTGAAAGCATACCTCCCATCAAGAATAAGCTGAAGAAAATATAGCTGATTGGTGCATGTACCAAGAAGCAAAAAAAAGTTGTTGCAATATGGATGTTTTAGCATTACCCTACATATGCACACTGTTCTCAATGTAGGCCGTTTTAACAAAAATCTGGATGAAGGCAACATTGTGGGTAAAAAATGAATGCTTTGTAAATGACTTAGGAACTACCTTATTCTGCAAATGTACATTCCATGTGTATATTTAAACTGTACATACTGTATGCATTGAGAGCTTTATAAATATGTGGAAGATGTAACAGATTTTTGGACAACACATAATCATGAAAACACTTCACTTTTTCATCTAATTAAATTGAAGTGGGTTATGAAGTCAATGTTCTTTTTTTTTTTTTTTTTCGTCGTTTTGATTATTTTAGAGGTTAATGTTTGGGTAAGATTTTTATTTTTTTCTCACGTTTGGTCAGAATTTTAGTATAATTTCTCAACTTTTTTTCCTCAGACTTTTTTTTTCACTGTGTTTTCCATACCATACATTTTATTTGGGTTAATTTTAGAGCTTACCACACTTAAGTTTAAGTCTCTGGTAGGACACATACTGTTTTTTTTCTCTGTGAATATTCTTTGTCAGTTCCCCATCATTGCATTACATGACGTCGTAAGGATCTCTGTGACTGTCTCTTTCCAAAAATCTGCCTTCAATCAAACAGAAATCTATTGGGAAGATTTTAAATCACTACTATTATATAATATACTAACTTTGTGATTTATAACGGCAATTGTTTTTACTGTCTCTGTGAGAATTAAGTAAACAATGCACTTTTTAAACAGAAATTCTTATGTTGTCTTATTTCATGAAACACTAAACAAACAATAACTCGTCTGGCTTATTTATGATTTAAAAATGCTGCTACTACAGTATTTTAATTTCTAGTCTATAGAAAGCAAATACATCATGATTTTCCTATTTCATATGTTATAACCTTTTAAAATGCATTTTATTCAGTACTACAAAATGTATTGTCACAGCACCAGACTGACTACCTCAAACTGAAATAAAAGAGGCTCTGAGAATTTAAGATCATGCATAATAACAGCAATAACAGCATATTATTTTTCATTTTTATTAGTCATAGTGCACAGAGATAGAAATGGCAACAGGTGCCAACATTACAACCCAGAATGCCATTACATACATAAGGTTTTGATTTCTTTTTGAATAAAAAATATATTATGTTTCCTATGTAAATTTGGGTAAGTAAGTTTTTATTTGTTGTGCTTTTCACAGACATCACAGATATGTCACATAGACACTTTACAGAGCACTATTCATTCCCGGTGGAGTTTAGCTACTATTATAGCCACAGCTGCCCTGGGGCAGACTGACAGAAGCGCAACTGCCAATCTTAGCCATTGGCCCCTCTGACCACCACCATCACTCACACACACACCGCTTTCTTACTAAGAAATGTGGGTAAAGTGCCTTGCCTAAGGACACAGCGACAGTTTTTGCGACTGGTGCCCCACTGTGGGACCTGATTTTCCCAGTGGTCTTCCATCCAGCTTCTGAGATCTGACAGGATCAGGCTTTGACAAGCTGGTATGACCACAACTTTAACTTTTTATGCCATTTTTCATCAATGAAAAAGTGGGACATGCAGTCTAACACATACACTGTATGATGTCTACGGGATAAGGGACAGGCCACGGAGAGTAAATGACTCTGCTGGATACTACTCATTGTCGTCCTTATGAAAAGAAAAAGCACCAGCAAAGGGATGAGCAGTCAAAATATTATTTGTTTCAACTGGCTTTACTACAAGCAATTTAATTTAAAATCGTGTTATTTTTCTTCGAGTTCAGCTCTCTGACCTTTGTCCGCCAGTGGCGCTGTGTGCTTTAAAGCCTCCTGTAACGCGCCCCGTAGAAGAAGCGCTCTCCCGGAAGCTTCTTGGTGTGAGCACGCGGTGCGTCCGGCCTTTCCGCGAGAGCAGCGACACGAACATGGTGAGGAGCGCGCGGCTGACCAACAAAATGTTTGTTTTACGGACTTTAATGCCGGTTTAAGACGCAGATCCCGTTCAATATGCGCATATAAGATATTCAGCTACACGCCGTTGCTTATTTCGATTAGTAAAATACAACGTGTGATTATAAAAATGATTATTGTTGCGGCTGTCAAGGTGCTAGCTGCTAAGTGCTGTGGCTAACCGTGTGTGTACGGCTGGCCTGCTAAAGAGATTGGGCAGCTCGCACTCAACGTGTTTAAAATGAAATTCATAATCAGTTATTTAGTATATACATTGTGTCGTTTTCTAAGTAGTCTGAATATTCTGTGCCATGCCGTGTTTATCACGCTGTCATTCGCATACGTGCTGTTGGTAGACGCACCTACACTGTACAAGTAACCTGACAAAATGTCCATAACTAATGTGTGTCTTGTTTCAGGCCAAGATCAAGGCTAGAGATCTGCGGGGCAAGAAAAAGGAGGAGCTGCTCAAACAGCTGGACGATCTGAAAAATGAACTGTCCCAGCTCCGTGTGGCCAAAGTGACCGGAGGAGCCGCTTCCAAGCTCTCAAAGATGTGAGTGCAAGAGCAGCCGTGGCATAGTACATTGTTACATTGTGGTGCTTTAAAATGCCTATAAAGTTTAAATCCCGTCCAACTATCTTTACCACAGCTAAAATCTATTCATGTAGTGTCCATTGTGGGTTGTGTAGGTGGACACCTTTTATTTGTATTGCCAAATGTTTTATAAAATGACCTGTTCGGTAGGATGTTCTAATGAGACTAGTTATCTTAAAGGTGCACTGTGTAACGTTTTGGTTGTCATCAAACAGATCTACCTGACATTTATTAAATTACATGTGATTTTATAGCTCAAAAATACTTAGAGAAAGAGGCATTCTGACTGGGGTTGCCACTTCACAGATCTGATCTGTTACTGGGTCTGGTTTGGGCTTCATGATCATAAAGGGTTATTACCATACTGTAAAACATTCCAGACAAAGCAATAACATCTCCCCAGAGAAAAGCGTTTGACAGACCCTCCAACAGAAAAGCTGCACAAGGCACCTTTTTATTTGCACTCTAAAGAAGAAATAACATCATGTTGTTTACTAAGATTTTTTAATTTGTGTAATCATTTGTACCCCTAAACTTTTTTTTCCCATTTCAGCCGTGTCGTCCGCAAATCCATCGCTAGAGTCTTGACTGTAATCAACCAGACACAGAAGGAGAACCTGAGGAAATTCTACAAGGTAAATCCTCTGAATGAACTCGGTGTAGTTCTGAAGGCTGGTCCCTATGTGCACTCAACACTGCTTGTGGTTCTCTTGTCGGGGATGATATCTGTGTGGCAGATGTTTTGCTGACGCTTTCACAATGCTTACCAAAAGACTGAGACTTGATGACCTCAGTGCTGCCATGTTTACTGATGGCTCTATTTAATAATGGGCTTTCACAAATATTGAATTGATTGTGTGTGAATTTACATTATGGGAAGGTTTAAGTGAGGGGTTTGAAGCATGGGGTAAAAATGCATGAGGGTATTAATACAGTAACTTGCATGTATTTCAAAGTCCCTGATCGAGAATAAAAATAATATAAATAAATATAAGCCCTCGCAGTCACAGTAAACATGGCTGGCATCTTAGTGCTGTGTGCTTCTAATTCAACTAAATTGGTTTGGATTTAACAATTTGGTCTGTTTGGCATCGAAGTAGTAAACTGTGACTATCTGTCAAAATAATCAAACCTCATGACTGACACTTGGGAACAATGTTTTCAGGGCAAGAAATACAAGCCCCTGGACCTGAGGCCGAAGAAGACCAGAGCGCTGCGCCGCCGTCTCAACAAACACGAAGAGAGCCTGCGCACCAAGAAGCAGCAGAGGAAGGACCTCCTCTACTCCATCCGCAAATTTGCAGTCAAAGCTTGAGGCTTTTTGTTATGTTCGAATAAAATATTTGTGGAAAAGTTGCTTTTTGCTTTGATTCAAATGTTATTGGCAAATGTTTGTGTACCAACATGCAAAACATTCTAGGATGAATTAACCAAAACTATTTAAAAATGTTAATTGAACAACCAAATTGACTTAATTTAGTACAGTACTCCTACCTAGATTATTTATCAAATCTCAACTGATATTCTGAGTTATGACACAACTGGGAAAATGAAATGCTGTACTTTTGATGAATGCTTGAATAACTCATTACATTTTTTCTACAACTGCTTAACTGGGAGAAAATATAATGAAGCATGTAAACCTGAGGAGCCCTACACAGGCAATTATGCAGATGATCAGTGTCTTATCTTTAGCAGGCAATACTGAGTTTTCCTACATTATGAACTAAAGCAAAATTGGGGCTAAGGAGGAGGACTATTTTAAGTCCCTGGAACTCCAGCATTTGGAGTAACCAAGGCAACATCTAACCAAACGAAACTTTAGTTATGAACAGTGAATTCCGTTGTTCACCGTTACAACTTTATAGAAAAAAATAAACAGTCAATTAAAGCCGCGCGCGGCGATGGTGGCCCTCGCCCCGGCGCGCACCGCCCCCCCTGGCGAACGCCGGGGACTCTCGACCGCCCCGACACACCGCTCTCTCTTCCCGACAGCTCCCGAGGCCAACAGCTCGTCCACCAGAAAAATGACATAGTGTACCTTTAAAATTGGATAAAGTGAATGATTCTAGAGACAAACTGTAGACACTAAGCCACAGGTCACGTGACTTCAATGGTCAAGAGCACTGTCACACTAAGACTAAGTGCATGAAAACACATCCTCCACCAGAAAAGTTACATAGTGTGCCTTTAAATTTCTCAGAAGTGAAATTATTCTAGAGGCAAAAGTGTAAAACTAGGGCATAGGTCTTACTGACTTTTATGATGAGGAGTACGTCAGTGAATGTTTTGGCAAAGTTTTACAAATGAATGTAAAACAAATTTTATGTCACACAATAATAAATTGTGTGCATTCATATAGGTGGCGCTGTATCCCTGATAACTTTATTTGACATATCAATGGAATAAGGGTCATGCAGTGTATAACTGATATAAATGTCATCACAATCGGACAAAACATGTGCATATAATAATTTTTACAATATTTTTTGGAGGATTCTCTGTGCCCCTGCTGGCCAACCGTGAAAAATACACCATGACTGTAATAGACATTTTTGCTTATAATCATGCATAGAATTTAACCCCCGACTTTGGTCCAAGTCCGATAATGTTGACATTTCATGTCTAAGGTAGGGGGCGCTATGCTGTTCACTTTTCATATGTTTTATAGTTTATTATATTCAGACCAATATCCCGCATTAGTGATTCAAATTTCAGCACAATCGAACTAAGCATGTCCCTGTAATAATTTTAAAAATATTTTTGGGGGGATTCTTTGCGCCCCTACTGGCAAACCGTGAAAAATGCATCATGTCCGTAGTAGACTTTTTTGCTTGCATTCATACATAGAAATTAATCCCCAAATTTGGTACAAATCCGATAATGTTGAAATTTCATGTCTATGGTAGGGGGCGCTATAGAGTTCATTTTTCATATGTTTTATAGTGTATTGTATTCAGGCCATGATCAGGCATTAGTGATTCAAATTTCAGCACGATCGGACTAAGCCTGTGTGTGTAATTATTTTTTAACTATTTTTTGGGGAATTTGAGTTCTCTAGGACAATGCCTGTGGCCGTGACAGGTCACCGAAATACAGGAAATGAAGGCGTTATTCGCCGGCGTGCTACGGGCGAACCGTAAGGAGTATCCCAAAAACATGGAAGATTTGAGTGAAGCTATGTCTGTAGATGTGACATGTCAAATCTGAACTCATTTGGACCATTCCCTCCGTTACCGACATGAGTTTTTAAATTTTTTGTCAACAACTTGAAAGAATATCACAGGTTTAACTTTACCCTGTTGGAGTGTTAACTCTTTCCTACATTCTGATACTTTACTTATTTCAATAGTCCCTCTAGTTTCTGAATGAGAACTATTTGAATGTCAAAAATCTACCCGTTTCCCTCCGTTACCGCTTGACCGGACCCCAGTGTATCGGCAGTAACCGATCTATCCGAACTATTTAATGTCAACAAACATCGTTAGTCATTAATGATTCATTTATGTTTAGGTAAACCACAAACAACAATTTAGCTTTGTAACAAACCTTTGACGAAGTGTTCACTGCAGACACGAGCATTTGCGGATTCTGCTCCTCCCGACCGCAAACGTAGGTTTGTAATAGAGCCCGACCGATATATCGGTTGGCCGATATTATCGGCTGATATGGGCAACTTTAGGCATATCGGCTATCGGCCGATGTATGAGTCGGTGAGTGTTGGAAATATGTCGACTCTGAAGCTAGTTTTTTTGTCATTTGTTATGGGTTAGCTGCTGTAGCTCCCGCACATAAACAGACTGTTTTCTATTGGTCTGTTCTAAAGTGACTATATTGGCCGTATATTTGCTACTGGACCTGCACTGATATGTAAATGAGCTGTGAACAGACGTGTGAATTATGACATTTGCGCATATAATTAATTACCGCGGCGCGCACGTATTTACGGCTAAAGGCTAATAGCGCTACTTTCTTTACTAGTTATGGGTCCGTCGCGAACGAAATGGCTCTTAGAACCGGCTCTTTGAAGGGAACGACGGGAGCCTGATCCTTATTGGGAGCCGTGTTTTCTCTTTCTCTCACTTTTTTTCTCTTCACGCCGCGTGATTCGTGGTTTTACAGCGGCAGCGGCTAAAAACGAAACTTTGAGAAATTTGCGTGTACGTAGGATTAAAGAAAATAAAAATTTAAAAAACGAGCATATTTGACTGTAGTTTAGCATAAAATAAATAAGTCCGGGTTTAGTCCTTTTTCAGTCCTGGTTTAGACCTGGTTCAGTCCTGATTCAGTCCTGCTTTAGACTGCTTTAGTCCTGCTTGCAACAAAACAATCTGAAGAGTCACTTGGGAGCCAAAAGAACCAGCAGCTTTTAGTGAGCCGAGCCAAAAGAGCCGGTTCTCTAAAAAGAACTGGAATACCATCACTAGTGTCTAGAATGTGATGCAAAAATGCCATTAGGCCAACCTACTGTCTGTAAATATGATGTAAAGAGTCAGAATAACAATAAATGTTGCCTAAATAAACCCAATTTAAAATCCACTAGAGCCAACCTAAGTTTTTTAAACAATTCAAGATTTACAGTGAATTTTTACATCACTAAATATATCGGTGATTATATCGGCTATCGGCAGCGCCAACTCCCATTATATCGGTTTCATATCGGCCACAGCAAAATCCATATCGGTCGGGCTCTAGTTTGTAATCCACTTTTTATGGCGTTGTTCTGTCAGCTTTTCCCATTTCTGACCTTTGTGGACGACTATCTTCGTACTCTAAAAAAATCGCTTTCCTTCTCTCGTTAGAACAATTGGCACAGCCGTAAACTGCACAACACATCGGCATTTCCCTCCAGTCGGTTCACTTCTTGCCCAATCTGATTTTGCGCGCTGACAAACGTCGCCCTGTAATGTCACGTGAAACCCAGATATTCAGAATTATTATTTCCATGTAAACTCCAAGGAAAATATTTTAAGTCCAAACAATTTAATCCAGAACAATTAAAAACATCATGTGAACGTGGCCATTGTGTTCTAACAGTGAGTTTTTTAATCATTTCAATACCAGGTTTAACATTTGTGCGTTTACCTTTTGGATATTTCGTGGCAAAGTACAGTGTGATAAAGAGTAGAGGGGTGTGCAAAAATATTGAAATATCGATATATCGTATCGTTTAATGTGATGACAGTATCGATATTGTGGGCTGCTCTATCGATATATCACCAAGAGTATTTTTGGTTTATTTTACTAAATGATTTTGTTACAGCTACAGTTTCGTTGTTTGTTTAGTGGAAGGAAACTCGTTTGACATTTTCGCTGTTGTGAGGATTAAAATGTTTGTGTTTCATATGAACTTTGCACAAGAAGTGGTTTAACAAAGATTTTCCATGATTTAGCCTTTATTTTTTACTGAACCGTATCGAATCGAAAGCGCACTGTATCGAGGTTTGTCTCATATCAGTGACTTCTTAACAACACTCGGCCTCAGTCAACAGGGAAACGTGGCTCTTGCCCCGTCTGGGAGTATGACATCATCACATTCTAGAACCTGAAAACCTCCCAGTTCCATCAGGTTCACGGCGCCGATGACATCATACATGTAAAGTTCCATAAAGCCTTGTTACCATGGCAACTCCGGAACTCAAAGCTAAACTTCAAAGCTTTGTGGGCTTTAACTCAAAGCTTTGTTAGGCCTCGGGGAGATTATAAGAGTAGGCAAATCGCAAATCACAAATCGAAAATCACATATCGCTTAACGGAAAAGGCACATTTAGCTGAGCTTGACACAGAGCAAATCGTACAAAGATTTCAAACAGTAGACTTCACAGAGGAGACTTTACAGAGTAGATTTCACAGAGTAGGTCGCACTTTTTATCTGTGTAACAGTAAGTACAGCAACACTTACAAAACAACTCAATTATAAAACAAAAATGGCCAGAAATAACAGGAAATATACCCTTGACCTTAAACCATGACCTTAAACTAAAGAACTGTGGTCTTCGTGTGATAAAGAGTAGAGGGGTGTGCAAAAATATTGAAATATCGATATATCGTATCGTTTAATGTGATGACACAGTATCGATATTGTGGACTGCTCTATCGATATATCACCAAGAGTATTTTTGGTTTATTTTACTAAATGATTTTGTTACAGCTACAGTTTCGTTGTTTGTTTAGTGGAAGGAAACTCGTTTGACATTTTCGCTGTTTTGAGGATTAAAATGTTTGTGTTTCATATGAACTTTGCACAAGAAGTGGTTTAACAAAGATTTTCCATGATTTAACCTTTATTTTTTACTGAACCGTATCGAATTGAAAGCGCACTGTATCGAGGTTTGTCTCATATCAGTGACTTCTTAACAACACTCGGCCTCAGTCAACAGGGAAACGTGGCTCTTGCCCCGTCTGGGAGTATGACATAATCACATTCTAGAACCTGAAAACCTCCCAGTTCCATCAGGTTCACGGCGCCGATGACATCATACATGTAAAGTTCCATAAAGCCTTGTTACCATGGCAACTCCGGAACTCAAAGCTAAACTTCAAAGCTTTGTAGGCTTTAACTCAAAGCTTTGTTTGGCCTCGGGGAGATTATAGGAGTAGGCAAATCGCAAATCACAAATCGAAAATCACATATCGCTTAACGGAAAAGGCACATTTAGCTGAGCTTGACACAGAGCAAATCGTACAAAGATTTCAAACAGTAGACTTCACAGAGGAGACTTTACAGAGTAGATTTCACAGAGTAGGTCGCACTTTTTATCTGCGTAACAGTAAGTACAGCAACACTTACAAAACAACTCAATTATAAAACAAAAATGGCCAGAAATAACAGAGGAAAATATACCCTTGACCTTAAACCATGACCTTAAACTAAAGAACTGTGGTCTTCGAAAGCAAATTGCCAAAAAAGATGAGCACAATGAGCGGCGATGGTGGCCCTCGCCCCGGCGCGCACTGCCCCCCCACGCGACCTCCGTGGACTCGCGACCGCCCCGGCACGCCACCCCCTCTTCCCGACATTCGCCCAGGTCGACAATGACGCATTAGTGATTCAAATTTCAGCACAAGCCTGTGGGTGGAATCATTTTTTAACTATTTTTTGGGGGAGTCTTTGCGCCCCTGCTGGCCAGTGGTGGAAAATGCATCATGTCCGTAATAGACTTTTTTGCTTGTCATCATGTCTAGAATTTAATCCTCGAATTTGGTCCAAATCCGATAATGTTGACGTTTCATGTCTATGCTAGGGGGCGCTATAGAGTTCACAGTTCATATGTTTTATAGTGTATTATAATCAGGTCGAAATCAGGCATTAGTGATTCAAATTTCAGCATGATGGGACTAAGTCTGTGGGTGTAATCATTTTTTAACTATTTTTTGGGGGAGTCTTTGCGCCCCTGCTGGCCAATGGTGGAAAATGCATCATATCCGTAATAAACTTTTTTGCTTGTAATCATGCATAGAATTTAATCCCCGACTTTGGTCCAAATCCGATAATGTTGACGTTTCATGTCTATGATAGGGGGCGCTATAGAGTTCACTTTTATTAAATTTCATATTTCATCACATTCAGGCCTCGAACTTTGTTAGTGGCGAGGGCCAACTAACTAAACATGTCTGCTGCTAAAGAAGAGCAGTTATATGTTAAGCAACTACGCCATCTGCAGGACAAAATAAGGAGGTGAGCTTTAAACGTTAACTACTCGCATTGTTTTTAACCCTCTCGAGAGGAGAAAATAAATTCTCGCCTGGCGAGAAAATAAATTTTTGGTTCTGATAGACCCGCTCCAAGAGAGTGGAAGGGTTAAATTACCTAATTTCATTAATCTACATTTTAAATCGTAAAACTAATCACTGTACTATCTAGTTTTGATTTAGTTTAATAATAATTTTGAATTGTTTATGCATCCTTGCGTTCATAATAGGCAATCTAATATAACGTTATTTAGATTAAATAGTTTACTTGATAGTGTTTGGATTTTCTTTTCTAATTTACTGTTGTTGCTTTTTTTTTTGGCTCTCTGTCCAACTATTTTCTGTGCTTTTTACAGGTATGAAGAGTCCATCGAGCAGAAAAAGAAAAACTTCACAACCAACAAAGCCAAATGCATTCCTGTTGAACAAGACACCAAAGCCATCAGAGAGTACCTGGAGTTTGATTTGGCCAGAAAACCACAGCACCTGGCGGAGCTGCTGGAGCTGTACAAGCAGCAAATAGAGAAGTCCCGTCGGGAGCTGGAGGAGATCGATGAGAAAAATAACCAAAAGCTCCAAAAACTTTATGATCTAAAGGAACTCACTACAGAACTCTCCAAAAATGGTAAAAAAAATCACTTACCCAGTACCTATCTGGGTTCCTCAAATGCTTTTCTCTAGGGAGATGTTAGTACTTTGTCTGGAATGTTTCACAGTATGGCATTAAACCTTTCTATCTTCATGGAGACCAAACCAGACCAAGTTACAGGTCAGATCTGTGGAGAGGCGACCTCACACACAGTCAGAATGTTTTTCTAGATATTTTTGAGCTATAAAACCACCTGTAATTGAATAAATATAAGAAGAGCTGTTTAATGTCATACTGTGGAAAATTCCAGGCAGAGCAACGACTTATCCCTAGAAACAAGCAGGTGCAACCAAACCAAAAATTACATGCTAAGCACACACTTCCTGCTTCTCTGACCATAAAACACTTTCTAATTAGATGTAAATAGTACACAGTGGACTTATCTTGACCCCAAGAGCTGCTTATACAATATATCTAAACACATTTTGCTCAAACACATGGATAAAAATCAGGTACACTTGTTTTGTTCTTTCCTCCTAAAAATAGAATCGAAGCATGCGGAGGTATTGAATGACCTTCAGATACAAGTTCAGTCTCACAAAGATCGACTGGCCAAAAATCAGAAGAACCACAAAGCCAAGATCGCCGAGCTGCAAGACGAGAATCTGGATGCAGAGATGGTGGCCAGATATTCAAAGTGATACATAATTTATTCCTAATTCCTAACACGGCTATAGCTACCCAACCTTGATTTAGACTTGGTTTTAGTATTAATTGGTAGACTAGACTAACAAGCCTATTTACATACCTGGTTCAGAAATACATAGTTAGTTCCTGTAGTTCTGTTGTGATAGTTACAGTCTCAGGGTACGTGACCTGCTTGACTCCGTGGAGATGTGCATTGCCTGGAATGTTCCACAGTATTGTATTAAATCTATTCATCTCCTGAGAAACAAGCAGGTGATGCCTCTTGGGAAATTGTCTGGACTATACAAACTGTAAGACACATACAGAAAGACATTTTTATAACAAAAACAGCAGCAATATTAAATCAAAATGTTAAACAGGAATAAATAATTTCAGATTTTCATTAATAATACACTTTATTTGTAATTACTGAACCTTTATTTGATTGATAATGTATGTAGAAAGTCGACCACTTGAAAAAAATAATCGCTAATTAGTCGACAAAGGCTGACCAATAGGAGCAATGTGTGGGGAAAAAGTCTGAATAAGTTAAATGATATGAAGATACTACCAAAAAAGCATAGGATCAGATTACAACAGTTCTTTAATGTCATATTCCCCAGTCGTACTTGAAAATGTTGCCTTTATTTACCATCACAGGTTCCTTAAAGACACAGACGAGGATTTAAAACATAACATCAGGGATAATTTCATTTCTACTGTAAAGGATGAGAGAGAATATCACCAAACGGGGCGAAACCATCTGGTTTTACTGAGGGACATTGCACAGCCACTGAGGGAGGAGAGAGACGACTTGGTCAGGCAGCTGATCCAGGACCAGGAGAACATGATGGAGGCAGAGCAGGAGCTGTACAAGATCACTGCTGCAAACAAAATACAGCATCAAGTAAGACAAATATTTCAGATATTACTTCAGGGGCTTTCATTCACTTTTACATTCACTTTTTAAAGAATTTGCACTCCTATTTAAGTAAAATATTTTGTGGTGTTGAGTAAAAGTTTTGGTCCTCTTCCCACTGTGAGTATGTGAGAAAAGATTTAACTTGACAATATTAAATGATTTGAGCATTTGTGTTTCATTTGAGGTCCATTCTTACCCTGAGAACCCAGATTTTTACCCGACAGTAGCTGGTTACATTTGCATTCCAAACATGAAAATTAAATAGTAATAATAATCTGATTTTGGTGTGCATGTGAACATAGCCTCTTAATATTATTTGAGTAGTACTTTCCTCAAAATACTGTGAAATTAACATTAACATTTACAGCATATATTAAGTTTGCTGTTAAGTTTACTCTCTGCCTCTGTGTCTGTTTCAGAAAACTCAGAAGCTGCAAGACACGGGGAACAATCGGATGACAGAAGTGAAAGATCTCGAGTTTTCTGTTGAGGACCGCAAACGTAACATGAAGTGTACCCAGGACCTCCTCCTGTATGCAACATCCACAAACCAAACTGTAACATAAACGTTCCATATGTGTTAACTGCTTCTTTTTAATTTCAGTCAGAAAATGGCGACGATAACAGCAACGTGCCAGAAACAGAAGGAGATAGACCTTCTAAAGGCAGTGATTGAGCTAGAGCACAGCAGGGCCACTGAGCTCTCTGAAGGAAGCCAATATTATTTTCACATTATTGAGGTATGTGTAACCATTTAGGGATGTATAATGCAAAAAAGCAAAAAGAAAAAGGGATCCAACAGCTTTTGCAGTTCTGATACTGATATCGACTCTTGGGTTTTAAGTATCTGCCAATACCTGATATTAACTGATACCAGTGCAGAGTCAGAAAAAGGCACTTATTTCCTTCAAACACAGTTAGCTTATTACACAAGGGATCCAACAGTATCATGCAACTGTTATCTATCTTTCATGTAACTATTGAACAGTTCTGAAGAAATTTGAAAGCAAATTTCCAAAAAAACATTTTGCGACATTCTAGGTAAAAATCAGCCTGTAAATAATCTCATTGCAACCACTTAAAGGCCCAATCACAGTATTGGCTTAACTGTTATTATTGAACTGATACCCAATCAGTATCAGTGCCAATATTCGAAACCAGTATCGGTGCATCCCTATAACTACTCAAATTGCACATACAAACAAATGCAGTTTCAGTGCTTTTTAGAGACATTACACTGGTTTGACATTCATATCCTGGACTGATTTATGCCATTTTATGTTATAATGTTGTTTCATGATCAAAAACATAACCAGAGTTGTGTTTTGTTTCATTCACATGTTTAACACACAAACCCTGCATATTTAGGCCGAGTTCTTCTCTCAAGCAGAAAATGCTCAGTTCCACCTTGTGATGTCATGTGGTAATACAAGAAGTGATCCACTGTGTTTTTCCACTCCACACACCTTCACTAGAATCATTTGGGTGATTTCAGCTCTGGAATTTCCTGTCTGAACAAAAGGTAAAAGGGAGCTGATAACTGAAAAACAACCACTAAATGACATCACAAGGTGGAAGAGAGCATTTTAAGCTTTAGAAACATAGGCATACTAACAGTAAAGACTCACTCATACATGTGTGAATGAAACAAAACACAACTGCAGGTATGTTTTTGATGAAGTAACAACATTTTTACATGGCTAAAAACTAAATTTTGCATAGGATAGGACCTTTAACCTCAACCATAATAACTTCCTACCTATCCTAAACTTAAATTAACTCTAGTATTGAAATTATACTGATCACATTTAATTATATTTAGCAGTAGAATACTGTCTTTAGCATTCTCATCATGGTCTGTTTTTAGGAACCAAAGATGGATCTCTGGAAGCTGAGACGACTGCTTGCCATTTTGGAAAGCTATACCCCACAGCAGACGTTTTAACACTGTGGTATTTTATGAATAAATGCATACAATGAAATATGTTTAACTGAATAAATATTAACATAATTATTATAGTTGTATTTTATTTTAATGATTACCTGTTTTCATTTCCAATACATTTCAAGCGCTCAACTTTTCTGATAGAGGAGTCTAGCTTTTATTTAGTTATGAATGTTTTTCTCAAAAATAAATATATAGTATTATATTTCTGTGAGCAAATTAGGTTAGGTTTGGTTGTTTTTATTTATTTATTTATTGCAGATTTGAGAGGCTGGCCCCATGTTTCACATTTCATTCATTCGCCCTGTACACATAAAAAACAAATTACAGTAAAGTATTACAGTGCTCAAGTGCGCTTGGCTAAAAATCACAATAAATATTAAAAACATGTAAAAACTGCACTTTCCAAGCCAGTTTAATAAAGTCATCTCTCCACAGATCTGACCAATAATACAGGTGGTGCCGCCTGCTTGTCTCCATGAAGATACAAATGCCATGAGTTTAATGCCATACTGTGAAACATTCCAAACAATGCAATAACATCTCCATGGACACAAACAGCTGGTAAATCCTCTACCAATAAAAGAAGCCAAGTGTTTTCAAAAAATGTTCAAAAGTTGGTGAAACTATATCACTAAAATCAATTTTCAGTTAGAGTTATATTAAATTGAGCTTATCCACATTTCAAAGTGTTGAAAAATAAGCGCAGTTCCCATGGCAGTTAACAATCCAAGGCCAAAAATATTATATCTTTTAAATGATGAAACGGAGAGCCAAAAGTCGTGCATAGGGATGACCAATGTACGTATAAAACAAATATCTGCTGTGGCCTGGAGAGGAATGCTGAGAATGCCAATCACCTTTCTTCTAATTACTTCACTGTCCCCACCACCTCGTCATGTGCTGCCCTCCACAACTGTTCACCCAGTCACTATGGGCTTTTACACTCTTCTCTCCTCTTTTATTTTTATTTGTTTTGCTCCTTTTTGTCTCACGTCCCCTCAGAAGAAACCAGGCTGCTTTAAAGTCAACAACTGCAAGTGTATCATGAAGGATGGGAGCGGGGTGATCAACCTGAGAGCCATGGGGGATTCCGAGGGGTTCCTGGGGCGCCTCATGTCCCTGACCCAGGACCAGAGCGGCCAAGAAGAGACTCTTCTGTCGTTTAGTCCCTGTCAACCCTTCAGCCTGCTGGAGAGCTCGGGGATGAGTGAGTGTACCGATGTTGCAGCATGTCTCTTTGTAAGGTATAGTGAACAATTCAGCATTATCCACTTGATGTATTAGTAGATTTCAAAGACAACTTCAATTCTCAGTAATATTTTTTACAAGATAAGGGGCATGCAAAATGAATATTGTTAAAACCCAGATTTTTTTGTAATTAAGTGATTTCTTGGGTCTAGTCACTAATTGACATGATCAGGTCCAACATTTGTGATTTTACCTTTTGGATATTTTATGGCAAAGTACAATGTAATCAATAAGGAAATCTGGCCCTTGCCCCCCCATCTCCACTAATACCTCAGATGCCCTTCCAGTTCTGACACTCTTCACTGGTACATCCATGTGGTGTGTCTATGTGCTTTGTCATACATAAATATACGTATATTGGGGGGGCAGCTAAAATCAATATTGTTCAACTGCAGACTCTTGTTCTAATACAGCATGGTTTAGGGACTTGTCAGTCATAGAAATGTTCAGGATCCATATTTGGGAATTTACCTTTCTGATATTTTTTGTCAAGGTACAATGTTATCAATAGGAAAAACTGGCTCTTGTCCCCCATCTGGGATCTGAAAACCACACACACCTGATTATACATATGGATTTTTGCAATATATGTAGGGCAATTAAAGGATTGTTTCTAGAATTATGAGAAAAGAAATGTAGGCAAATATTTTATTAATGAATCTTTAAGTATCAGTTCTTGGAATTAGATTATAGGTGTATTTTACATCACAGTCTAGAATTAACGTTTTTGAACTTGCTTGCTGTACAGTAGTATAAACAAATAGTAGCAAGTAGTAGGTAATCTGTGTCAAATTTCCCTTATACCAGTTTTGACAGTTGAATATCAGAATATTATTGGATGGTTTTGTCTGAAAATGTCTTTTTGTTTGAAAATACCCCAAACTGTGCTCAATGCCAGACATATTTACCCACCAGAGGGCGCCAAAACACCATACGTCTACCTACTGCTGAAGTACTACGGTACTTACTGAAGGAATGAAGCAATGTAGTGCAGTGTCTATTTTCATACCTAATACCTCCTTGTTAAATGTTTGTCTTCCAAAAAATCACCAGGTCTAATACTAATACTAAAAACGTAAATAGATCTAAACATGGACTAACAGTAAACCAGATCCATACCTGGAACTGACAACTCTTTAATGCATTGCAAACCATAAAGTTTGTAGTCAAATAGCAAAAGTCTAAAATAGCAAAGACTACTCAATACTCTCTGAAGAATAGAGAATATAATGAGGATTTGTGGGTTATTAAAATAAATGGAGATGATTGAATAGGCAGAGTAGGAGTATTGTGGAACAGTAAATAAAATGTGAGACCAAAAAGAGGCAAACTGTTAAAAAATAATATCATAATTTTTTACAAAATAAAATGGCAATAATAGTTAAAAGGCTAAAAGCTGGCAGTGAGGTAGCAGAGTCTCGTCCAGGGAAAAACAAGGAGTGGAGGTACCTGAGGGGACGTGCAGGGAGGTTGGTGGAGTTTATAAATGAGTAAATAAAAATATTGTTTTTATTGTCCTATTAAGCATAATGCGAAGTAAGTTTCCTATTATTGATTCTCAGTGGTAATAGTCCCAGGAATAGCAATGCCTTTCTTTTTATTATTCTGTTCTGGCAGATGATCGTGCTTGTTTTTCAGGTCTCCAGACGTGAGCAGATTTATAAACTATGGCCGACACAACGGAAATGAATTCCACTACAACGACAGCCTTAAAGTGCTGTCAGTCTCCTACTTTGGTGAGTCCACACATGTGCCAGACACGTATACAGGCACAAAAAAGTAGGCTTCACATGCAGCTTCTAATACGTTTCTAATTTACGAGCAATTTGGTAACTGGTGTTTTCTGTTGTTTTCATTGGGCTGTGATCTATCTATTCAGGCCCAAAATTAAACCTAAAAAATTATGTGAAATAAATATATATTACAACTGGAAAGAGTTAGTCAACAAGAAACAGGTTGACTATTGTTAAAGTGGAGCCCATAGTCCGTCTTTAAATGGACATAACTAACCCGGTAACTGCAGCATTCCAAATAGGAAGTGAGCATGGGGGGGCTTCTGGCTCCATTGATTCTTGCTCCAATTGAGGGGGGGGGGGCTTTCCCTATTATTATTATTATTATTATCATTATTATTATTATTATCCCACATAAGAGGAACAGAAGACAATCTTGTTGTTTTGACACCCTTTAAACAGACCACTTTATACTTATTTAACTTTTTACACTTACTGTATGCACTCATTATTCCCAGTCAAAATGTCTAATGTCTTTTATGTTTGTAATGTCTCTAATATCACAATTTTAAAAAGAGAAATATTGTCACCCCTCATCATTTTGGTCTTAAAATGTTCACTTTACATAATACTGGTGTTTTTGTTTTGCTGTTGTCCATAAATAAATTCCTATTCCTATACATGGACTTGGCTCCAAATTTGCTCATGTAACTCTTAGCATCATGAGCTTCATTTGAATAGAGCCAAATGTTATGGATAACGTCACACTCCCTCTGTCCACTTCTTTATACGTCTTCATACAGTGTAGGATTGAGCCCTCATAAACACTGTTTTGTATCCTGCCATGTTTGTGTTTGTCAGTTGAGCAGGAGCAGCCGCTGACAGTCGTCCATTATCACTGTAACCCAAACCAGTCGGCTTCCTTCATCCAGAGCACCAAGCTGTCTGTGGAGGGGCCCCTGCACATCTGGGTGGAGAGCCCCTGTGCATGTGCCAACGCCTGTGCCTTTGGAGACCTGGGCCTGGGTACTATATTCCTCATCATGCTCTGTGTCAGCGCTGTGGCATACTTCGTCCTGGGTAAAGCTCTCAAGCAGTACTGTCTTAGATTTACTGTGAATTATTAAAGGGCCCATATTACGCTATTATCTAATCTACGTTATAATGTTTTCTCATCAAAAACATACCTGGAGTTGTGTTTTGTTTCATTCACCCATGTTTAAAACACAAATCCTGCATATTCAGAGTTCTTCTCTCAAACAGAAAACACTCTGTTCCACCTTGTGATGTCATGTGGTAACAGAGAAGTGTTTTAAACTCTGTACACTTTCACTGGAATCATTTGGATAATTTCAGACATTGCCAGTCTCTACTGAACAAAATGTAAAAGTTAGCTGTTAACTTGAAAACTACTGCTTTGTGATATCACAAGGTGGAACAGAGCATCCTGAGCTTTGGAGATGTAAACAGGTATGTTACTGAGGTAACAGCATTCTAACACAGACATACTGTAAGCTCAAAGAGTCAATTTTGTGTCATATAGGACCTTAAATCAACAGGGGGGGGGGTATCCATGGAGATAGATACGTTTTATGCCATATTCTATTCTATAAAAACTTGGCTAAAAAGTTACATATTGGGGCTTTCCAACAAAAAAATGAAATTGAAAACCAAGAACAGGATCCATGCTTAGATCCAAGTAGATAACCTAAACTGACCTAAATTGGATCACCTCCAGGTCAGTTTAGAGGTTAGGTCTGCAGAGAGTCAAGCTCACTCACAGTAAGAATGCATATTTACTCAAAGGGACAGGAGGACAAACTGTACAAACTGGACAAACTGCTTTCCATCATGGACACTCCTGCTCACCCACTGCACCAGACTACAGTGGGACAGTGGAGCTCATTCTCCAACAGGCTCCTACAGCTCCGCTCACACGCTGAGAGATACAGGACTACATTCATACTATAATACTCCCTACAACTGTACAACATCTCACCTTTATGTAACAGATAATACTCCCTACAACTGTACAAAAACTCAGCCTTAAGTAACAGATAATACTCCCTACAACTG